TGTCAAAGAAAGAGCTATTTAACTTGTTTATTGTAAAAGTGAAAGGCCACCAAGCTACAAACATTTTTACCAAGTCACTCAAGCTGGCAACATTGCAAAGACAGAGGATGTTAGCATATGCAAATGTTCAGTTTAAGGGAGGCAAATAGGCAATGCTAATATATTTTCATATTATTCTCTAAATTTTTAAACCATGTCTTAAGATGTTTAGAACTAGTCTTTGCTATTAATCTTATTAGTTCCTATTCTTTAGAAGAACTGCTATTCTCATGTTAGTTCTCTCATTTTTGTTATGTACTCTCTCCGTCTCATTTTATGTGTCTGGTTCGGTTAACGAGGTTTGACTGAAGTTATTTTTAATTTAATTTTTTATAATATTAAGTTTAGTATTAGTATACAAAATTTATATATTTAAAAACTACACTAAAAGTACTATTAAACACAAAATATCAAATTTAAAAATAAGTACAAAATACTAAAGAAAATAAACAAAGAAGAAAGAGTTGGTTTGACCAATGAATAGTAAGAAGCATAAAATGGGATAGAGAGAATAATAAACATTTTTCTTTTGTTAGACCACGAAGTGTCCTAAACAGACCTTAACTGTAGGAGGCACCTTTAAGCCCGTACCATACTCAGACTAATCCCCGTTCACACCGGGCCGGCCCAATTAAGGGACAAAATGCTGGTCAGATTAATTTTTTCATACGAGAGGGGGTTCGAACATCCAACCACTCTTAAGGGACAAAAGTACACGATCACTCACACAAAGTCGTCAACCAAGCTAGTTATGTAATAAACATATATATATATATATATATATATATATATATATATATATATATATATATATATATTTAAGACCATTGTTAATTAATTCACTAATACCATCAGATAAATTTCTTGTCTTTTCATATTTTGTTCTCCTTTAGCATTGTTTAATTTCAAATCAAAACTCATCATCATTTGAGATGAGAGCTCATCAAAGCATAACATATAGCTAGGCATTCGAAGTGACATCATAATGCATTATATTGATAGATGTCACATTATTATGTTTGCTAATCCCACCACCTACACTTACCGATCAAAAGATGCCATATTCATTTACCTATCAAGTGTTATCATATTACTTGTAGACTCTAGCTAGTATAAACACCCTCATTTTATATTGCTGGTCACTTTGGGACAAGCTGAAACATATTATTAATTAGGATTGAAACTTCTCGACCTCTAAGTCACTATTACATATAGATCTTGTCACAATCTATATGTAATACTCACGTTAATATTAATAATAGAGTTAATTACCGAAATGGTCTATTGACTATAGTGAAATTATCAATTTGATTATTGATTATATTTTGTTTAATTAAGTTCCTCAACTTTAAAAATCTTAACCAATTTGATTCTCCATTTGTTTAGCTGTCAGACATCCGTTTACTTGAGAGTTGAGACCAAATTAGTAATTTTGCTATAGTCAATGGATCATTTCAATCATCACATGCATTATTTTCTCTCTTATTAAACCGAAAAGTTAATTACCGAAATAGTCTCTTGACTATAACAAAATTATCAATTTGGTCTTGAGTAAATGGACGTCTAACAGCTAAACAAATGGAGGGCCAAATTGTTTAGGATTTTTAAAGTTGAGTCACTTAATTAGGTAAAAAAAATAGTCAATGACCAAATTGGTAATTTCGCTATAGTCAATGGATCATTTCGGTAATTAACTCTTAATAATATAATGCAAAAACTTGTGTGAGACTGTCTCACGGATCCTTGTCCATTAGATGGGTCGGGTCAAGATAAAATATAATACTTATACTGGAAAATGTAATACTAATAAAGAATACAATGTTTATTACTTATATGAGAATGTGTAATACTTTTGAAGAAAAATAGAAACACTTGTTGCTACTGACTTTATTACATTGTAGTAATTCTGTTCGAACATACTTTCTCAACCTAATGAAACACAAATAGTTAACAATGCTTCCACTGAGGCTCGATCTCATGACCTCCCACATAAGAGAGGTCACTACGGCTCTGTTTGGCAAACCTAGCAGAAAAGCTATAAGCTAGGAGCTGATGAAAAGCTATAAGCTCAGAGCTGAAAACTGAAGAGCTGTTAAGCTAGCTGTTATGATTGAAAGTGTTTGGTAAAAATAGCTTTTTGATAAACTGATAAATATAAAAAGACTAAAACTGACATCTTCATAAAATTTAAATTAGTTTGTTTACATATTAAAATTTAATATTTTATCTTTAAAAAAAATTAACATTTTGAAATAAAACTATTAGCATAATCATGATCTAGCATCTCATAATGAAGTAGCAATATTGTTGCAAATGTCATAATAATAATAATAATAATAACAATAATAACAACAACAACAACAACAACAACAACAACAATAATAATAATAATAATAATAATAATAATAATAATAATAATAATAATAATCTTATATTTAGTATTATATTCTTATTTAGTATTATATTTTTTTATATAAGTATCTTATCTCTATATATAATATAGCAGAATCAAGGTGAAAATTTTTTTCCTCCATTTGGTGCATTTGAGAGTTATGAAATATCAAGGGTTTAGGAACTTCATAATCATCATAAATCTATATATATATATATATATATATATATATATATATATATATATATATATGAATGAAAGATATTATTAAGTTTATACAACACAAAGATGCAAGATAAAAAACACGTACAAATTTATAAATTCATGAATTAATTTCTACGAGTATTATATCAATTTTGATTATATATGTGTGTGTGTGGGTGTTGGGGGGGGGGGGGGGGGGGGAGGCACTAACTTTTTAATAGTTTGTAATTTCGATTAGTTTTTTAATAATTTATTTACAAAGAAAGTTAGGTAAAGTAAAATTAAGTAGGGAAAAAAATTTTCCGCCTAAGTGTGAATGCATATTAATAGATTTGTAAGATCATTATTTTTTGTGTGTGTAAATCACGAGGCGGTCCGTTAGGTAAAGTAAAATTAAGTAGGGAAAAAAATTTCCGCCTAAGTGTGAATGCATATTAATAGATTTGTAAGATCATTATTTTTTGTGTGTGTAAATCACGAGGCGGTCCGGATCTTTCTCTGTCCGTTTAACTTTGTAAGATCATTATTGCAAATGAGATTAGCAATATGAATGCATTTTTTGTCATATATTCTCTTAACATTTAAATATTACAACGTATAACTATACTTACATTTTTAATAAAATTAATTCTATTTTGTATCATAACATTACAACAATATTTATAAATTTTTGTCTGTGCATCGCACAGGACAAATACTAATATTTATAGTAATCGAACTCAATCTGATTCGTCTCACAAATAAGAGTTCTTGAGACTTTCCCAAAAAGTGTGACCCATAATACATTGCTTTCTTTATATCCATATTCGCTGTACTTTTGACTTGTCAACCTTATTCCACGTAAACCTCCCATTGGATTCATTTGGCTGACTTAATTTACACCATCAGCATCCAAAATTTCATACGTTACGCATTAATTTTTATTACGTTTTTTTTTTTTTGAGAGGATACGTTACGCATTAATATGCATCCATACTTCTAAATGTTAATTACTTAGCTTATGAATGATAATTTTCTCTAAAACAAAATAACATTTAGAGTGTATTTGGTTCACACATGAGAATCGGAATCGGAATGAGAATCAAATATTTGATAATGGTATGGGTTTTGGTGAAAATATTTTGCATGTTTGGTAGTAGGATAGAATTTGAATAATTACTAATATTGATGTTTGGTTATGTATGATCCTATAATAGGAATAAAGGTTTTAAAATACAAAAAATCAAAAATAAAAACAATTGATCCTAATATAATGACTATACAAAGCACTAATATGAACAAAAAAAAAATCAAAACAAAAATCTAAAAGCAATCATCCAAACTTAAAAAAAAAAAAAAAAAAAAAAAAAAAAAAGCAAGCATATTACCAATAAGATATAATGAAACCATTTTTTTAATTAGGGAATGTGCTTTTTAATTGAAGGGTTAATCAAATCTCATAATTGTGTTTTAAAAAAAATTGTCGACCAAACATTAACTATGATTTTGATTCTAATTCTTAGTGTGTAAACCCATGAACCAAACACACCCTTAGTCTCACTTTAAAAGTACGAATCCTATTTTGACATGCTCTTTTTTTTATTTGAAAAATACTATGTGGACTCTAAGTTTTTACTTTCAACTTTTACTTCACCCTTTTCAAAAAAAAAAAAAAAAAAAAAAAAAAAACGTTTACTCCACTTTTAAATTCTTGACGTGAACATTTTATGGGGACCTAAATATAATATAATGAAAATAGTATATCATTATTTGTAACATAGAGTAAAAGTGAGGAAGTAAAAAATTTGGAGTACAATATACATAATAGAACTCCTTTTATGTATCATACACTAGTACAAAAAAAGGATTTTGTCACATTTGATCCCTAAACAATTCAAGGATTGAAATTAAAAACTAGAGACTACATTAATAATTGAGAAATAATTGAGAGACCAAAATGTTGATTCCTCCTAAAATCAAAATATACAACAACTACTTTGGGAAAACATTATATTATTTTGGGGAGTTAATACCATCTGAGGTCCTCCGAGTATAGTGGTTTTGCCATGTTTAGTCCTAAACTTTCAAATTAACAATATGTGATCCTTCGACTTTCAAACTTAACCATTCGTGGTCCAAGTTAACCACACATGGTCCTTCAACTATTAAATTTTAACCAACCATGGTCCTTTCATGAGGACTACTATTGGTTAAATTTCAAAACTTGAAGGACTATGGGTGGTTAACTTGGACCACAAATGGTTAAATTTGAAAATCGAAGGACCACAAATGATCAATTTAAAAATTTAAAACTAAGCGTGACAAAATTACTATACTCGGAGGATCTCAGATGGTATTAACTCTTATTTTGGGCATCAATGAATCCAGCCAAACACACTTACGAAATTAAAACGTCATGTGGAGGTGAGAGAAATATTTAAACTTCCAAAACTACCCTTGTCTTCCTTCTAAATCCCTCTTCCATAAAAAGTCTGCTTTCCTATCAGTTTCTGCTAAGCTCCGATCTCCTCAAGTTTGGTTTGTGTTGGAGAAATAATCAGAGCTCTCTATGAGCAGTGACCCGAACCAATCCGGGTCCTCCACGACCCATCATTTGACGGTTCCACCCGGTTTGGGTCCGGAAGAATTCCAGGAGCTGAAGCCATGGATCACCCAGTTCCACTCGTACCGAGTCAACTCGGGCAAATGCTCTTCCCTACTCGCACAACGCGTCCACGCGCCGCCCGACGCCGTCTGGTCCGTCGTCCGCCGCTTCGACCGCCCCCAAACGTACAAGCACTTCATCAAGAGCTGCGCCGTCGGGGAGGGGTTCCGGATGGCCGTGGGCGACACGCGTGACGTCAACGTCATCTCCGGCCTCCCGGCCGCCACCAGCACCGAGCGCCTCGACGTCCTCGACGAAGACCGCCGCGTCACGGGGTTCAGCATCATCGGCGGCGAGCACCGCCTCCGGAACTACCGCTCCGTCACCTCCGTGCATGGGCTGAGCTCCAGTCCCCGCCACCCGACCACCGTCGTCTTGGAGTCCTACGTGGTGGACGTGCCCGAGGGAAACACCGAGGAGGACACCAAGCTCTTCGCCGACACCGTCGTCAGGTTGAACCTCCAGAAGCTGGCCAGCATCACCGAAGCCATGGCGCGGGGTGAAGGTGGCGGTGGCGGCACCGCCGGCGGCGGCGGCGGCACAAGTCATCATTGAGGATACGATGAATATATGTGAAAAAGGTTTTTTTTTTTTTTTTTTTTTTTTTTTTTCAGTTAATTCTATTTTTGGGCTTAATTGTATAGGTGAGAGTCCTTTTTATTTCTTTTTTCAAAACATTATCTTTCGGTTATAGTATTATTGTGGTATTATTGTTCTTTGTCCTCCATCAATAAAATCATTGAAATATCATTAAATACAGGTTGTTTTGATTTTTTTCAATACAAAGGGAGTTAACCTATAATATTTTTATTTTATTTTTTTTGAAAAAAATTTCTAATTGAAATTCGAAATACCCTTATATTAAATGTTGATGGAGGACAAAAAATATCATATCAAAATAATACTAAGACCAAAAAGAGATGTTCTAAAAAAAAAACTAAAAATACTCTCATGTATAAATCTACGACTAAAACTGAAATTAACTTCTTTTGTTTTTTGAAAAAAATGTTTCTATTTTATTTTTTCTTTTATGGTTTTTTTTTTTTATTTTGTTTTTGTTTTTGTATTTTTTTTTTTTTATGTTGTCGGGTTTACTCCTTGAAATTCAAACTCTTTGTTTCATCGAAGGAGCGGTGATAATTAAATGGGAAGGAATAACCATTTTCATGGACTTTCAAAAAAAAAACCATTTTCATGGTACCATATTTTTGTACATAAACGAAAATGTTCATTTAAATTTTCCATAAATTTGGAACTTGGGTTATCAAACTTGTTTTAAACCTTGATCATTTTGCCTTTTTGGGTTCAATTTCAAGTGGTACTACATTTATATTATTAGAAAGACTTAATAAAATCCAAAAGTGAAAGTTAATAATATGCAAATAATATGTGTAATCTCATTTCCTACTCTTAAGTTTTACTTTCACACACAAAATCTTGATTTATATACTTGTATTAGGACCCACATGAAAAAAATAACTTAACCGTGCCCGTCAGAGTAAAATTAAAGAAGTAATATTTAAGAGTCTATGCAATAGAACTCATATAGGAGAATTACTATGTACATTCCTTAGTGAATTTCAATGGGATAATTTTGTTTTTAATATATTAGCTGTAACAACTACTATAAATAAGATTAGATTGCAGTCATAAAAAATAAAAATAAAAAAATCTTGGATAAATGTCGGATCATTATATTCAAGAAAATAAATATTAAAAGAGAAACATATTGATATAACTATATGGCATTTAAAACTCCGAAAATGACTATTTCCAATTATTTTTTCACTCCTTAGCATCTCTTCTTGATATTACTAAAAGAAAAGAACTCGCCACAATAAAAAAAGTTGAATAGTCAAAGAATTTTTATTGGTGAAAAATATTCACACACCAGCCACTAAAAAAATACAGTGAAAAATGGAGGGAGTCTAGCATGATTATTCTTAAAACAATATTGAGTTTTCAACCTATAATAATTGATGAGTAGTCAATAATTTGATAAATTTTTGAGTTAATACCCAATTTAATCCTCGACTATAGTGATTTTTCTCGATTTATTTCTAAACGTCTTTTTGTGTTTATTTAAGCCATCGACTTTGATGGTTTTATTCAATTATAGTTGTGGACTAAATTAAGTATTAACTCATAAATTTTTCTAATACCATTTTCAGAAAAAATTTGCTTAGCTTGCTTCAATTGCTCAAACGAAAATGACTAAAATTCAATTCCCAATTTCCCATGGTTTTTGTGTGTGATTGGATTAGATTAATATGAACTGAACCTTAGGTTTCTTTCCTTCAAAAAAAAAAAATGAAAAATATTAAATGCATAAAATTCCTAAAAGTGGAAAGAGACTGAAAATAAATGCGAAAAATAGATAGGGCAAGAAATAGAATCAGGGTGTAATGCGCCGGCTGATGATGGGGGTGGTAACAGCAACATCAGTTTGCGGACTTTAAAATTAGCTTGGACCACATTCTGCCAACATGTATAATTTGATGAGGTTTTACTTGTGAAAATTTTAAATTTATTATTATTCCCACTATTTTTAAACACTCACGCTTCTTTACAAAGTAATATCAATATATTCTATACTTTCTCAATTTTTTTTAAGAAATAAGGTTCATTGAACCATGCATAGAACTACACACTAAAATGCAATTAGGCGAATGAACTCAAAAAATATACAATTAGGTCCCTAAACTAACCAATTTCATGCAATTAATCGAATTTGTAGGTTTTCTAGATTTCTAACAGGTCACCTCAAATTTAAAATATTTTTTAAAAATAATTATTTAAAACTAATTATTTAAAATTAATTTTTTTTTTTAAAAAAAGAACACCTCCATGCTGAAGACGAAGAAGTTTCTTCGTCTCCATTGCCGAAGACGAAGAATCTTCTTCGTCTCCCGCATGGAGATGTTTTAAAAAAAAAAATTTAATTTTAAATAATTAGTTTTAAATAATTATTTTTTAAAAATATTTAATATTTTGGGTAGGGATGTAAATCGAGCCAGCCTGCTCGATTTTGGGCTAGCCCCGTCGAGTTGTCGGGCTAATCGGTTATTTTATTATTTTATTTTTGAATTCGGTTAAGTCCTAACCCTAAATTTCGGGAGTAGGATGTCAATTGGGCCAGCCCGTTCGGTTTCGAGCTAGCCCCGTCAGGTTGTCGGGCTAATCGATTATTTTATTATTTTATTTTCGGATTCGGTTTGACCATAACCCTAAACTTCGGGTTGTCGGGCGGGTTGAACCATTTCAACTAAAATTAGAAACTGAAAGTAAGTACCCATATTTAGAGTAGGGACATCAACGGGGCGGGGCAGAAAGTATACTCCCCGTCTCTGTCCCCGACGGAAAATTAAAAATAGTCGTCATCTCCGTTTTTGCGGGGAATTTGACGAGGCCGGGAAATCCCCATCCTCGATTAATTTTTAGTCAAAAATATTAAATTTGTGTAATTTTTAATTTAAAAAAAACTAAAAACTTAAGTTTTAATTTAAATTATATATATATATATATATATATATATATATATATATATATATATATATATATATATATATATATATATATATATATATATATTAATTTTTAATTATAATAATTATTCCATGTATGTTAGTTTCACATCACTTCTATAATAAGGAATAGTTTTCAATAGTTCGGGTTATCGGGCTAGTCTTTTTAATTTCAGACTAGCCTTATAGGGCCATCGGGCTTATTGGTTTCGGGCTCATCGGGCTAATGCTTTTTATCCGGCTAGCCCGTTCGGGCCATAGCCCTATCGGTTTCAGTTTTATCGGGTTCGCGCTAAATTGACATCCCTAATTTTGGGTGACCTGTTAGAAACTTGAAAAACCTGCAAATTGGACTGATGACATGAAATTGGGTATTTTAGGGTCCCGTTTGCATATTTTTTGAGTTGAATGGCCTAATTGCATTTTGGTGTGTAATTCAATAGCTTATTTGACCTTTATTCAATTTTTTTAAGTCCTAAGAGTCAATGTTAGGTAGTATCGTTTTATACTTTCTCAATTGTCTACATCCAAAGAATCAATGCCCCACCAACGGGGTTCAATCCTGTAATTACTCATTTAAATATGGTAACAGATATATCATCACACTAGCTACATAGCAATTGGCCTATATATTACTCCCTCTTCTTTTCTTTTTGAAAAGCTCCCCCTCTTTTAATTGTAAGTAAAAATTAAATTTTTAAAAAAGTGAATCACCCTTAGATCAATCTAATCATCCATCAACATATTACGAATTAAGAACTACACATAGTATAACTGTTTTACTCTTTTTGTTTTGTTTTGTTTTTATTTTTGGTTTTAATCCTTTTTTTTTTTTTTTGGGTGATAAAGGATGAGGCATGTGGGATCTAGAAACAAACTCAAAACTAATTGTTGGACACCACTTGATGGCCAACAAGACCAACATTATCACCCCAAAGAATTGACAAAATAGAGGCTTGCTTGGTGGCTAAGTAACAAAATACCTGGTTAATCCACCACTAATTGTCGTGTAAATGTGTAATATGATCTGCTAACTTATTCTGTAATTGTTATATCATAGATCAGGATTCATATTATATTGTAAACCCATATACAAAAATTATATATCATCAATTGTTATTCAACCGTTAAAAATAAATACAAAAATCATTTATTATTGAATCATTGATTAAAATTTATATTTTTAACAATTAAACCTTTGACGAAAAATGATTAAGTTTAATTTGGTCATTTAATTATGCCCATATTGTAGACTCGATCAATAGGGGTGTGCAATCGATTAACCGTTCAGTTAACCAAATCGTTTTAACCGAAATTTTTAAAAGGTTAACCGTTAACTGAACCGAACTTTGTATTACAAAATTAATCGAATCGATATTTTTTTTTTTGTTAATCGGTTGGTTAAGCGATTAATCGAAATTTTGAAGCTAAAGAATAATACCTATAATAATGAATTCAATTAAAATAATACTTATAATAATAAATCCATAAGAAAATATACAAAACACAATACCATAACAATACTACAAACATAAAAACACAAATTATAAAGTCCAAAAATACACACACACACACACACACACACACACACACACACACACACACACACACACACACACACACACATATATATATATATATATATATATATATATATATATATATATATATATATATATATATATATATATATATATATATATATATATATATATTAAAAAGTTCAAATGCGGCGAGGCCCTCCCATGAGGCGGTACAGCGATTTTCAGAATACACTAACAGTGTTAACGAAAGGCACCAACAGTGTATGGGAAACACACCACAATAAAATGCAAAAATACACCAAAAAATATACAACACACCCAAAAAAAATACACCATATACCTCCATACCATAATGATGTATTTCCGAACATTGTGTGGTGCTTTTAGTCATACCTAATGGTGTGTTGTTGGTGATGCGTACCTAATTTGTATGTGTTTTTTGTGGTGCATTTCTTGACGTTGATGGTGTATATCATGCTTATTAACAGTAGTGAATGTGGCCAACGCAAAAAGAGTCCTAGGTTCACATCCCAAGGAAGGTTTTCCTTAAAAAGCCTAGACATTTAGTGCAAAGAAAAAAGTTATGTTCAACGCAAAATAAGTCTCTAACAGCTGGAACGTTTGACAAGTCTACCTAACCTCCGAATTACAC